GGTCTGAGACAGGTCCTCTGCATATTCCTTATGCTTGTGTAGTTTGGTGTTCTTGTGGGACTCCCAACAATGTGACTGGGGGGGGGGGGTTGGTGTCTCTAACTCATTAAGACTTGGAACCCTTTTCCTCCTACTAGGTTGCCACATCCAGCCGTGGTATAAGGGTCTATGCCAGTCTTACTGTATCTTGTTAGGACATGTTTGGTGGATATCCCTGGAACAGACTTTTTTTTTCATAAAAAAGGGAAGCAGAGGTGTTGATCTGGTGGAAAGTGAAAGGGGAGGTAGGGTAGGGAATAGGAGTAGTGAAGGAAAGGGAAACTGGAGTCCAAAATAAAGTTAAAATAAAATTTTAAAAAGTGGCAAGATAGAATTTTGTTGTTTTGTTTTTCAAAACAGGATTTCTCTGTGTAGCACTGGCTGTTCTGGAACTCGCTCTATAGATGACTGGCCTGAAACAGAGATTCAGCCGCCTCTGCCTCCTGAATAGTGGAATTAAAGGCATGTGCCACCAGCACCCAGCCAGAATAGACACTTTAAATCAGGTCTATGGTTGTAGAGATGGCTCAGCAGTTAAGAGTACTGTTTGCTCTTGTTGAGCACTTCGTGTTAGTTTCCAGCACCCATACACAGCAGCCAACAACCATCTGTAACTCCAGGTCCAGTTGATCAGACACCCTCTTCCGGCCTCCATGGACCCTCACACACATGATGCACAAACACATATACAAGTTAATAAATCTTTTCTTATTTTATTATTTTTTATATGTGTGGGTGTTTTGCCTCCATGTATGTCTGCACCATGCACATGTCTAGTACCTGCCGGCCAGGGGAGGGGGCGAACAGTTGTGAACTGCCATGTTGGTGATGGGAAGCAAATTCAGGTCCTCTGAAAGAGGCGCTAGTACTCTTAACTGCTGAGCTACCTCTCAGGCCCCATTAATAAAGCTTAAAAAAAAAAAAAAAAGTGGCAGAACAGTCTATTCATTGTCTGTCTGTTTTGCTACTCTAACCACAACAGCTGACATTAGTCCCCTCAAAGCCTTGTCTCATTATAGGATCCTGGCCCAAGGCCCATTTTCTTTCAACTGCAACACTGGTGTATATTGATGAATTGTCAGGAGTAAATTCTCTTAATATGGAAACCTCTAAGAAAATAAGTCATGTTCCCTTTCTCCCCCAAACACCCATTAGCTCAGAAAAAAATAATTAGAACCCTCACCCAGATAAGGGAAAAACATGTAACTGTCACTAGTGCATAGCAACAAAACTATCGTCAGTTAACTAACATAAGTGACTGCCCCCAATGGCTTTCATGAATACTCATTTACTACTTGTTTACATGAGTTACATAATGCTTACCTACCATCTAAGGCTGAGATTGGGCCATTGTTCTTAGCAGACAGCATGAGGTGCCCTCAGGATTTTAAAAGATAAGCAAGCATCCATTTATATTACATCATCAAGCCACTTGTACACAGAAGCTAAACAGAGCTACTAAGGTGGAAAATGTTAGGAATGAATAAGTTCATGGTACACATGAATGTTGGTCATGTTGTTTACAAATTAGCTAAGCCAAGTACTGGAAAAATCAGTACTTCTCTGAGATCATTTTAAAGTATACTTTCCAGGGGCTGGTAGGATGCTCAGTAGATAAAAGCACTTGCAGAACAGGCCTGATGTCTTGTGATGTATCCTCAGAACACAGTGGAAGAACAGGATGCTGCCCTGCAACAAAAAGTTGTCTTCTAATCTCCACCAGCATCCTTTGAGAGGCACACAGCCTCCTCTCCTGCCACCACTCCCTACCAGTAATAAACTTTTTAAAAATCTAAAGTATACCCTCCAGGTCAGGCGTAGTGCTGCATACCTGTAATAGCAGGACCTGGGACTGAAAGGCAACATGGGCTACCATAAAACAGAATATCCTGAGCTATATACAGCAAGTTCTAGGACAGCCAGGATACATAGCAAGATCATGCTTCCAAAACCCAAAATAAATAAATAAAAGTACATCTTCCAAAAGCAATTTCCCAGGGCAGGGAGATGGCTCAGAGGTTAAGAGTACTTGTTCTTGCAGAGGACCTGGGTTTGATTCCTAGCACTCACATGGTGGCTCAAAACCATCCATAATTCCAGTTCCAGGTCATCTGATGCCCTCCAAAAGCACCAAGCACACACATGGTACACTGACATACATACAGACAAAACACTCACATAAAATAAAATGAATAAATATAATTTTAGCTCTACCATGTATGCCTCATACATTATAAAACAGAACCAAGTAGAATTTTTTTGTTTTGTTTTGTTTTGTTTTTTGAGACAGGGTTTCTCTGTCTAACAGTCCTAGCTGTCCTGGAACTCACTCTGTAGACCAGGCTGGCCTCAAACTCAAAGAGATCCACTTGCATCTGCCTCCACAGTACTGGGATTAAAGGCATGCACCCCTACCCCCAGTGTAGAACTTAACTCGTAAAGCTCCAAAGTGGCATCAGCTTAGTAGAAATATGGGTAAGCCATGTATAATTTTCTTAGGTTGACAATCCAGCTAAAATGTTTAATTTTTTAAAAGTCAACCAATTTATTGAATCTCCATAACTGCATCCTATATCTTCATTCTTAAAATTGATAGAACTTGGGGGCTAGAGAGATGGCTCAGTAGTTAAGAGCACTATCTGGTCTTCCAGAGGTCCCGAATTCAATTCCCAGCAACCACATAGTGGCTCACAGCATCTAAAGTGCTATCTGGTGCCCTCTTCTGGCCTGCAGGGATACATGCAGATAGAACACTATACATAATAAATAAATATTTTTTAAAAATAGATAGAACTTTATTTTTGGAATTTTCTTCACTACCTACATAGACAAGTCATGCTTTTACTGAATAAAAATATGGGTGAAAGTCATTCTGAAGTTCCAGGTCAGCCAGGGCTATACATTAAGACCCTGTCTCAAAAACACTAAAACAATGCCCATCATGCAATTTACATATCAAGACAGGAATTCTTGAACCAAGCTAGTAGATGAAATGCTACCATAAGCCCTCCAAGATGTGCCTTAAGCTCAGTTTGTTATGATCTCTGCTTTCATAGGGAAAATCTGTCATAAGAAACTCTTTTCTGTACATATCACCCATGGAACTACATGTACATTTCTTTTACAAATTAAAATCTGATGACAGGGCTGAAAAGATGGCTGAGCAGTCAAAGCAGATTACTATAAAAGTTGAAGATACCCAGAACCCATAGGGCAAATTGTCCTCTGACCTCTATACATGTACCATGGCACACTTATACACAATAAATGTAAGAAAAAAAATCTGATGACAAAGAAATGCTTCCCTTCATTCTGACTGCCAAATCACTTATAAAGCCAAATCTGAGGCTAATGTCTCAGCTCTATACTCTAAACATCTATTTTCCCATTCCAACTGACCTTTAACTGATGTTTCTTTCTGTTTTCTGGAGTTTGGTCTTAATACAACTTGCTGTCATTCTTTTGCATCTACAGCATTAGTGATATCACTGTATAAAATACAGTCAAGTGTAAATAAAATAAAAACTTGAGCACAAAGAATAAGAAAACAATGGCAATAGAACTGCTACAAATATGAATACCAACTTAAAAACATTTTCATAGTTATTATTTATTTGGTGGGAGCAGACACACTTATGACACAGTGTATGAATGGAAGCCAGTTCTCTCCTTCTATCATATGGGTCCTGAGGATTGATATCAGGACATCAGGCTTGGTGATAGGTGCTTTACCCACTAAGTCATCATGCCAGACCACTAATTTTTTTTTTAATTTTTAAAAATGTACTTACTGAATGTAATGGAGTATACTTTGTGCCACAGCATATGTGTGGATGGACGTCAGAGAATAAACATGTGGAAGTTGGTTCTCTCCTTCGACAATGTGGGTCAGGGGTATCCAACTCAGGTTTGCAAGCTTGGCAGGAAGCACCTTACCTGCTAAGTCATCTCACCAGCACTCTTTTTTTCTTGACAGTGTTTCAAACACCCTATTGTAGCTGACACTGACCTGAACACTGGGATTACAGGCGTTTACCACTGTACTCCATTTTATGTAGTGTTGTAGATGGAACTCAGGGTCTGTGCATGCTAATCTACCAACTGAGCTAACATCCTCAGGTCATGGCAGCTTTGATAGCTTGAATAAAGATCCCTAATGAAGGCAGAGATTGCCACAGAAAAACGTCCTGAAAGAGCTCACAACTAAGAAAGACATACTACGTGTTGAGACATGAGAGTGAGGAACTGTTCAGGCAAGAAACACATGTTAAGGCTCGGGATGAAAGAGCACTCAGAGAACTGCAATAAACCAGTTTTTTTTCTTCTTTGGTAAACCACTTTGTCAGAATAGAGGATGTTTCAGGAGTGGTGAGCCATGACACTGAAGAGATACTCTAGATTCAAGATCAAGAACTTTTGGACCGCTGGGCAGTGGTGTTGCATGCCTTTAACCCCAGCACTCAGTTGGAAGAAGCAGGCAGATCTCTGTGAGTTCCAGATCAGCCTAGTCTACAAGAGCTAGTTCTAGGACAGCCTCACAGAGAAAAAAAAAAAAAAAAAAAAAAAACAAACAAACTTTTGGATCCTAATCTAAAAAGCATGTCTGGAAAAACAAGAACAGTTTACTTAAAAAAAAAAAAAAGACCCTCGAAAATGACATCTACCAATACACCCTCTAAAATAATCTCCATCCCATCCTTACCCCCTACCAATTCTACTGTGTAAAATTCTCCTTTACAAGTAGGATCAATCCCTGACAGGCTACTGTGTAAAATTCTCCTTTACAAGTAGGATCAATCCCTGACAGGCTAGAATCGAACAAGGAAGGAGACATTGAGTAAAACATAAGAACTGTGATTCCCAGATTGCCCATTCTCTTCTGCATTTGATAGGTGGACTTACAAGCAGCTCTACAAGAAAATGAAGGAACTCTGAAAGCCATTCATATCACATCAAGGCAAGCAGCAACGCAGTTAAGATTTTATGTCTCCAATTGTTCCTATCACAGTTTCTAATACAGAAACAAAACCATGGAGTGTTTCAGTCCTGGCCTCACTCTGTTTCACAGAGATTTGCATTTCTGAGTTCTCAGGCTTTAAAAGCAATTCAGTTAAGAAGATACAACCAGTATCATCCTGAGCACTGAGATAGGCTTTCCAGGGCTGTGCTCCAGCCCTGCTCATTGCGATGGTCTGAACGTTCACTACTTTTAGAGCCATTTGGAGAGTGTCCGGCTGGACTTCTCCCTGCCAAGGAAACACCTGTTGATGAGTAACTTTGAGATTAAGCCATGTTTTCTCAAAATACTCAGCAGTAAGCTGGAGATTGGGGACCAGCATGAGAGCTTCAGAATCAGGAGATTCTTGTATTTCTTCTTTGTTCTCTTCAGAAATCAAGTGACCTAAAAGAGTCAGAAAGCTTTTATAAGAGATGCTCTTAATCAGCATTTTTACTTTACATTCCAAAACATTCAATGTGCTACCCTTGTACTCCTAGTACTTGGGGTGGAGGATGAAAGCAGGAGGATCAAGGGTCAAGGGAAGCCTTAGGTACACAGCCAGCTCAAGGCCATATTGTGTCTCATACACATAAAAGCAAAACACACTTATACTATGACTTCTGTCTTCAGATAAATGGCTTAAATAACCAATGATGAACTCCCCTCGCAAAAGATTCAAATTCAGGCAGCAGTCTGAAATAGCTACAGTATTTTACTTCCCACCAGTCATCACATGGAAAGCTTTACCATGTAAGGTAAACACTATTTTTACCTGGTGTGGCCAAGGATGCATTGACAGGAAGCTCAAGGCAATGACGCTCTACCTTCTGGCATTTAGAGATAGTTGCCCAGTGGGCTTTGCCATACACTGGCACCAGTGTATTAAAATCTGAAGCCCAACTATTCACAGGTCGTTCTGGCTGATCCTCCAAAAGTCCAAGAGAAGGGTCAGATTTAGGACTGCACAGGATCTGTTTAACTTTATCAATGCCAACTAACAGGAGACGATAATAGAAGAGACCTCGGTCTCGTACAGCCATGTCCTTTTCTTCCTCTGAGAGAAAACAATGAATTAAGTTAAACAAACCAACAAACAAACCAGCACCCTGCTCTCTTCCAACTTTGTGCCAACCACAAGAGGAGAAAAAAATGAAGAAGGCAAGATACATTAGAAATTATCATTTCCTTCTCAAGTCTCAGACATGATTTACCAGACCATGAAAGCTATGAAGACTTTAGTATGAGTCTCAGCAAGTACTATTGCTCTGGAAAACCTACCTATGCAGTAATGTAATAGACGTCCCAGCATGTCTTGGCACTCAGCAGGGCGTGAGAGAAAAAGGCGCATTAGTGCAGTCAGTAGCTCCATCTTAACAGCAGGAAATGTCTCTGACTTCACATTTTCTACAAAGTCTTCCAACACATAAGGAGCATTGGGGATTTTTTCCCCATGGACCCCAAGTAACCAAATAAGTGCCTGTTTCCCCTAGGAATGAGAAAATAATAGATGCTTAATATATGGCTGTCCAAACAGAGGAAACAGGAGACAGTCATGGGTTCTGCTTTTCCCCTAGTGCCAGCCGATAAACTGCACCCTTTCACTGGTGTCAACTTTGTACTGCATGCCCTGCTCCACTACTTCTCTAAAATAAACAAGAGTGAAATTCTAATGCACATGGGCCTGGGGTTAGAGATGCAATGCAGTTTGCAAAATGCCAACTTAGCAGGCGTAAGACCCTGAGTTTGATGCCCAGAATCACACACACACACAAAAATAATACTGTGTGTGAGGTCCAAAAAAAGAAAGCCAGGCGGTGGTGGCCCACGCTTTTAATCCCAACACTTGGGAGGCAGAAGCAAGTGTATCTCTGTATCTCTGTGAGTATGAACCCAGCCTGGTCTACAGAGGGAGTTCCAGGACAGGCTCCAAAGCTACAAAGAAACCCTCTCTCAGGAAAAAAAAAAAAAAAAAAAAAAAAAAAAAAGGGAAAAGAAGAATCATTAAACCGGGCCCCAAACTGAGAAAGCTTTATTTATTGATTAATCAGCATGGCCTAACAAAAGTTTTGAGTTTCCCTTTGCGCATTATAGCATTTTTTTCTTTCCTTTTTCTGCTTTCATCATCTCTTTTTGATAGTGTCTCACATAGCCCAGGATAGTTATCTTGCTTAGCCCAGGATAGTATCGTGCATAGTCCAGGCTATCATCAAACTCACTGTGTAGCTCACTGACTTTGACCTTGGACTGTAATCCTCCTGCCTCCACCAGCAGAGTGAGGGGTTATAAATGTGATCCTCACACCCAACAGGGTTTTCCTGGAACTCATTCTGTAGACCAGGCTAGCTTCAAACTCAAGAGATCCACCTCCTCTGCCTCCTTGTTGTTTTTTCAACTATGTAACTCTGGCTGTTGTGGACTCAGTATGTAGATCAGGCTGGTCTCAAACTCACAGAGATCCACTAGCCTCTGCTCCCAAGTGCTGGCATCAAAAGTGTGTGCTGAAGTTTCATCTTTCAATAGAAACTACTGAGAGAATTTCTTGAAATCTTTTTATGAAAGTGGTTATTAGAATATTCACAGACTCATCAGTGACATTTCTTAAAAGACCATCTGTCTAGGTGTCCCCACCCTAGATATTTAATTTAGCAGTCTCCATGGGGAGGAAGAAAACAAATTTCTGGAAAAAAAAAATACCATGCAGGCCAGACATGGTGAAGCACACCTTTAATTATAGCATGCAGGAGGCAGAGGCAAGCCAGTCTAGTCTACATACCAAGTACCACACCAGCCATGGTTATATAGTGAGACCCTGTCTCAAAAATTAACAAACAAAAAAACTGCCATCAACAAAAAAAACTCCATGGTGTAAATCTCTGACTCATAATTATTCAAGAGGACAGTGGTATCAAAGAATTTGTCATTGAAACTATAGATAAGTCTCCTTTTTATAATTTGTGGGTTATTTGTGTCCCAAAGAGAACCTAAGACAAAAGCAAGCCTGAGTTCCTACTTGGACCCAGGATGTTAAAAAGAGTAATCAGGTTCTATTTCAGGGTTAGGAACTGTCTCAGTGGTGGAAATAATTACCTAGCCTGAGTCTGGTCCCCAGCACCACAAAACCAAACCAAAAGCAGACCCCGTTTCAGAAGGCATGGTCCTACAATCCCTTCTATGATTCCAAGTAAAAAGAGGATTATATTCTACCTCACTGTCTTGAATGTTCTCCTCACAGCCAGGCAGGGCCTGACACACAGCTTCAGTACACTGAGGGCACAACCAAACCAGGTCTCGGAAAGTCTGCACCACTACTGCAATAAAGCCAGGACAGAAGAGCACAGGGTTAGAAGGTCCATGCAGGAAAGAGTCCCAAGAAGAGTCATGTATTTGGATTACATTTCTGACTGAATTTCTGGAAAACAGGTTTTGGAGGGGTGGTTATTAATTAATTGAGAAATGGAAGATACACATGAATTTTACACACATCAAACTGAATAAATAGTGAATAAATAGAAAAGTACTTAGTAAATACAATGCTGTGGACAAATGTGGGGTAGTGTTGCTGACAGACACTGAACACAGTCCTGAGACTGGTGGCATGAACAAGGTGCCTAAACTGCAAAATTTAAAGACACACGACACTGGCACTTATATAAGCCTCAGAATAAGGTCTTCCTAAATCCTTGCTTGCCTCACTTCAGCCTAGTCTTGGAAGCTGGATGAAGCTCTTTTTGAAGCGGTGTGAAGATAAAAGAGCTTCCTGGTATCCTAATTATCCACAGTACAGTCCTGTCACTCCAACAGCCAGAAGAGGCTACCATGTTAAATCTATAGAGCCTATGCTTCTCTGATAGCAACAGATGATGATGCAAGGACATGTTTAAGTCTAAATAATTGAAATTCATTTAATAAAAATTTTTTTAAAAATAACTACTGTTAGCTAGGTACTTGATTAAGAAAGAAAAGAAGGGAGAGAAGGCGGAGGGAGAGAGGGAGGGAGGGGAGGAGGGAGGGAATAAAGGAAGGAAGGAAGGAAGGAAGGAAGGAAGGAAGGAAGGAAGGCAGGAAGATTTACTTTTAGAAAGGCAGGCATTACCTGTAGTGATGTGTTCTTGTCGGAGACTCAGCAACTCTGTTAGAATCTGTACACACTGGTCTGTGTAAGTCTTGGCAATGCTACCTACAGAGGATGGAAAGGTGAAATTCTAGCATGTTGTTCTAAAACCATTTCTCATTAGTCAGAGGCAAACGCAAATTGCTGCAGCAGGAGGTTCATAAATTAGAGGCTAGTCTGGCCTACACAGCAAGACTGTTTTAAAAAGGAAAAACAAAGAAAAAAGACAGAGATGTTAATGATGATTAATCTTCACTGTCAACTTACTAGATTTATAACCACTATAGAAACACACCTATATGTATGTCTATAAGAGTGTTTCCAAAAAGGTTTATCTGAATATGACAGGCACCACCATGTGGGTTGGGATCCCAGAATGAACTAAAAGGAAAAAGTGAACTTAGCACCAGCATCCATCCTTCTCTACTTCCTAATGAAAATGCAGTACAACAAGCTGCTTCATGCTCCCGCCATGCTGGACTGCATCCCCTCAGACTGTAAGTCAACATAAATTCTTCTCTCCTTAAGTAGCTTCATATCAGGCATTTTGGTTATAGGAATAAGAAAAATAATTAACAATAACCAAGTCATCTTTAAAAGAAAAAAATCACTAATTACAATTAAATTAGATTCTAAGGCTTGTACAGGGAACTATGGTTAAAATGAATTCAGTTTTTTTTTTTTTTTTTTTTCAAGTGACCAAAAGAAACCTTATGGAAAAGGAAAAAGATCCCCATAACACATGGTTGAAAGCACAATAACAAAGTACAGGATGCAGTTTTTGGCCTGTTTGTTTGCTATATCACCTAGGGTGGCCTTGAACTTGTGATTATCTTGCTTTGGTCTCTTGAGTGTTGGAATCACAGGCACATAGTACTTTTGACTGAGGCACCCTTCTGGATGCAACACACTTGAATAGAAATATTACTGTTGGAGATACATGATAACAATCTTTTAAGTTTGGAAGAATTTTTACTGTCTTCTTTGCCTCTAGCAACTATACTTCAAATATGAGAGTTCTTCGTTCTCCTCTACTTAGTTTTAGCCCTCTCAATCTTAGTTCATCAGCTGTTTTCATTCTTTGAATGTTTCAAACCTTTTAGGTTCCAGACGAGAAGTCAGAAAGTCTCTAAAATTAAGGAATTACTCTGTTGATCTAAACTTAGCACTATATATAGCCCTTAATAGAAGCAAAGGACTTTTAGTCAAGAGAGATGGCTTCCACTCAGTTTAGAAACTACATGGTCTTTTGGACACTTAGCAACCTTTTTGTACCTAAGTTTCTTCATCTTTAAAATACCCACTATTCTGCCCGGTGTTGGTGGCACATGCCTTTAATCCCAGCACTCAGGAGGCAGAGGCAGGTGGATCTCTCTGAGTTCAAGGCCAGCCTGGTCTACAGAGTTTCCTCCAAAGGACTACAGAGAAACCTTGTCTCGAAAAACAAAACAAACAAAAAATACCCACTATTCTCGATTGCCTTACAAGACCATAAGATGATATGTATGTATGTATGTATCACATTTTGGATAGAAGGTAACATAAAAACAGTATAAATTTTAAGTATTGTTCAAGTTACCTATACTGTCTACCTTGAGAAACATCTGCCTTGATTTAAAACAACACTTTTCCCTTGCATGTAATCATGACCCAAAACATGACCCAAAATAATGATATTTTTGTCTCTGAAACAAGACTCATTACTACTGTCCTCTGTTTCCCTGACTGCAGTCTTTAGCAGGCTAAGCTGGGGTCACAAGCAGTAAAAGCAGCAGGTACTGTACCTATGGCAAAGATGGCGGCCTGTGCAAAGTCAGCAGCCACATCAGTGCAGTACCCTCGAAGCTCTTCTAGCACCTGCTGTACATTCTCATCATTCACCAGCTCGCACAGCACTTCCACCTTCTGTAGCTTGATATAGTGAGGCTCCGAGTAAGAGCAGAAAAACTTTTTGTAGTGACTGCTAAAGTGACCTGGCAAACTATGCAAGACTTGGCGGACATGACAGAGAGCAGCAAAACAGAGCTCACGGCTCTCTGACGAACAGGCAGCTAGCAAGGGTCCCTTGACTCGTACAAGCACATCAGCTTGTACATGGGGGAACTTCTTTGCCAAGATCAGAAAGAGTTTGGTGGCTCCCATCACCACACCTGTGCTGCTGCTCTTGAGATAGCTGTCCAACAAATTGAGAATATCAAACAGTTCCTCCTCACTCCGAGGTTGGTAGCGGAGCAGAAAGTTCAATACCTCAGCCTGGCCCCATTGATCCAGTTTTGACATTCTGTCCAAAATGAAAACAAAAGCACTACTTTAATAACAAATGGAACATTCTCCATACAACTGCCATATAGCTGTTCATCATTACAAAAGGGAGAGACAACTCTTAAAATAGATTATGACATGTTTGAATTCTTTTTACATTTTAAAACATAAGCTTTATTGTCCACAATAAAGGCTGTTTAGATGGCTCAGTGAGGAAAGGCATTTGTTACCAAGCTTGCTGACCTAAGTTCAATCTCCAGAATTCACATGGTGAAAGCAAAGAAATGATTCCCAAAGTTGTCCTCTGACTTCTAACACATGCCACAGCACATGCTTGCATGGACACGGACACACGGACACACACACACACACACACACACACACACACACACACAAATAATAATGAGGTTTTTTTTATTATTATTATTCTAAGGGGGCTGGAGATAAGGTTCAATGAGTAAGAACATGCACGACTCTCCCACAGGATATGAGTTTGATCCCCAGCAGCCAACCATATCAGGTGGCTGGCAACCACTTACAACTCCCACTCCAGGAGGATCCAACCCCTCTGGCCTTTGGGGGCATCTATTTTCACATGCAATTATCTATATACACATACACAATTAAAAATAAAACATTAATCTTAAAAAGAAAACCCAAGAAAAGTAGATGGTACAAGTCTAAAACCAAAGATATGATCAATATATTCTAGATCCAAAGTCTCTAACATTAATTTTTTTCCAGTACTGGAGACCGAACCCAAGGCTCATACATGCAAGCTAGCAATTATGTTTTGTTGTTGTTGTTTGTTTTTTCCAGACATGGTTTCTGTGTAGCCTTGGCTGTCCTGGAACTTGCTTTGTAGACCAGGCTGGCTTCAAACTCACAGAGATCCTCCTGCCTCTGACTCCCAAGTGCTGGGATTAAAGGCATCTGATACTACACCTACCACTAGCAATTATTTTACTGCCGTACTCTATATTGTACACCTCAAATTTCAGGTTTTCTATATTTTTCCTAAGGTTTATTTATTTTTATTTATGTGTAAGTATTTTGCCTATATTTAAGTGTATTCATGCATGTCTGGTCCCCCTAGGAGGCCAGAAAAAGGTGTCAGATCCCCTGACCTAGAGTCATAGGCCGTTGTGAGTCACCATGTGGATGGTAGGAATTGAACCTGGTTCCTCTGGAAAAGCAGTCAGTGCTCTTAACCACTAAGCCATCTCTCCAATAACCCAGATTTTCTAAATTATAAGATAAATGGCTCAGTTTGGGGGGACATAATAGGTATTACAGAATGAATTTATCTCCACAGCTTGCTTCTACCATCTTTACATATCAAAAAAAAATTAAGTCAGATAAGAGAAATTTTCTCAATAAATATGAGGAAATTAATAATTGCAGTAAACTGGGTAAAAGTGTTTGCTATATAAACCTAATGATTTGAGTTCTATTGGAACTGACATGAAAGCGGAAGTAGAAAGTCACCTCTTCTAAGTTGCCTATTGATCTTCATACTTTTGTTGTAGCATATACACAAACCCACATCACCACCCCCATGATACACAATAATATTTAGTTTAATTCATCAACAAGATCTTACCATGATTCATATCTCATAATAAAAAGAGCATCCAAACCTATTTAAGAGATGGTGGGCAATGGGCTTATTAATGACAACACCTCCTTCCTGTTTTAAAATTTCTTCTAGAGACCTCAGACAGTTCACAACCACAATTGGATCCTGGTCACGCAGGAGACTGTATAACTCATTGACTAGAGCACCATCTAAAACAAAGATCAAAGATTACAAATAAAAGAAAACTTGAGTCATAGGGATAGAAATAGAGTAGCAGCTCTAGGCAGACACAGTTACATCTCTGCTAAAACAAAAACAAAAACAAAAACCAAAGGCAACAAATAACATCATTTTGGGTACTAGACAGGACATCTAAATTAAGAAATTAATTTCTTTCAAAGATTGAAATAAGGAGCTAAAACAAAAACAAATAAAAACAAGCATCTGATTTAGAGAGACATACAGTCATGGAGAAACATTATTACTTTCTGCCAAGCAACATAGTTTTTTCTTCCAAAATTATATACAGCAATAGAGACACAAAAAAATATTGGGCAAGGTAGATGCTCTTACCCACTTCAGAGTCTCCATGAAGATTATGCATCTTGGCACAGCCAAGGACTGCCACTCTTCTGACATAGGAAGCCTTATCCCGCAGACCATTAAGAACAGGCTGTTGGATATATTCCTGCACACCAGGCATCCTAAGAAACACATCCTGTAGTGAGGCAGAGCTTGAAATGCTAGTTTTGACATAAGTAAGCTCTTCTTCAATTAACAAAGGTTTCATTTACATTTAATAATTCATGCCTGAATTTATCTATCTGATCACAAGAAATTGGAGGGGGGCTGGAGAGATGGCTCAAATCACTGACTGCTCTTCTAGAGATCCTGAGTTCAATTTCCAGCAACCACATTGTGGCTCTCAGCCATCTGTAATGAGATCTGATGCCCTCTTCTGGCATATGTGCAGGCAGGTCACTATATACATAATAAATAAAATAAATCTTAAAAAAAAAAGAAAAAGAAATTGGAGAAAGCCTCTATCAAATTTAAAAAGCCATAATTTGGCTTTTCTTTTGGAATAATGCTACACAGCCAGAACAAATTATTACAATAATAACTGATTAAACCTTTTGTTTTGTTTTGTTTTGGAGACAGGGCTTCTCTGTGGTTTTGGAGGCTGTCTTGGAACTAGCTCTTGTACACCAGGCTGGTCTGGAACTCAGAGATCTGCCTGCCTCTGCCTCCCAAGTGCTGGGATTGTAGGCATGTGCCACCACCGCATGACTCTGATTAAACATCTTTAACCGAATGAAATTTAGAACTATTTTACCAAGATAAAAGTTTAAAACCATCTTTAATAAAACCATGAGATACAGCTTAGAAGGTCAAAGCAAGGGCTGAAAATCTGAGTTCAAGGAAGAACAGTATTTTCCTTAGTATTAGGGAACTTAAGCTGTCCTCATTAAAAACCTGCTAACTCATTAGCCACTCAGGACCAGGCAAGGGATAAAGTGCTCACCTGAGGCTACACATACTCCGTAGTGCCAGTCCTCGAACCATTGGATTGGGGTCTGAGCAGTCTTTGCATAGTGTATTGATGGCCAAGAGTGCCAGATCTGGTTTCAAAGGTGCATATGTGCCCATATACAGATAAACCAACTTTTTCTGAACAATATCAACAGTGGCACTGGCCTTCACCATTTCCATGAAAACACCAGACATGTCCAAACCCTGAGTCATGTGCCTGTAAGGAATACAGAGAGCAGAAAGAAGTAAAACACACAAGCCCCAGTCTGTAAGAGGAGTTTTATAATAAGTTCTGGTTATCTAAATTATGATCCTTCAGAGAGCTGTAAGTAGGTCTACCTTGTCTATTACATCACACAAAACTTCCTATTATGGGCCTGCAACTGTTGCTCTGTGTGTTCAACACTGTTGAATCCTTAGTACATTCCAATGAAATGATATGGGGATGGAACATTCAACTTTAACATTCCGGGGATATGCTATGGGCACATCTTTCAAAGTTATAGGCTGGAGAGGGAGATCAATAGTTACTTGGTAATTTCGTTGCTCTTGCAAAAGAGCTGGGTTCAGTTCCCAGCACCCACATGGTAGCTCGTAACCATCCAAAACTATAGTTCCAGGGTGCCTTCTGGCATACACAGGCAACAGGCATATGTGTGATGGACTTACATATGCAGGAAAAACACCCATACACTCATCTTTTTAGAAAGTAAAAATAAAAAGCTGGCCATGGTGGTGCACAACTATAATCCCAGTACTCGGGAGGCAGAGACAGGGGGATCTCTGTGAGGCTGAGGCCAGCCTGGTCTATATAGTGAGTTCCCAGGACAGCCTCAAAGCAAAATAGCAGGTTGGAGGAGAAGAATGCTGGTACTATTTTGGTCATATCTTCGAAAAACTATCCAGGTAGAAATGCCAAGCAAGCAAGGGAATATATAGGTCTCAATCTTTAAAAAAATAAAAAGGAGAACTGGCAGGTCAGTGGTGGTTCACACCTTTAATGCCAGGGCTCAGGAGGCAGAGGCAGGTGGATCTCTGTGAGTTCAAGGCCGGCCTGGTCTACAGAGAGAGTTCTAGGACAGATTCCAAAGCTACACAGGAAAAACCCCTGCCTCCAAGAAGAGAGAGAGAGAGAGACTATTGTAGGAAAGTCATTGAACAAGGAGTCAGCAGTGTAACTGCTGAGCCTGACACGAAGAAAAGCTCTCAGCTGGATAGGGAGAGTGAATTGACAATCCAGAAATGCAGTCTTAAGATACGGCTGCCAAGTTCATTTATTTACTTTTTCAGTGTGGTTGCGGGTAGAGAGCCCAGAAGGGAATTAGAAGTCGGGCAGGATGGGGAAGGTGGGGGCGGGAGTTAGAATTCTAAGGTGGGTTGGTGATACCTAATAACGCGCTGGATGACATTCCGGTAGCGCAGCCTATCAGTCTGAATGTGAGGGTTACACAGAGCCTTCTTCAGTTCCTTCACCACGTCCTCGGAGCCAAGGTATGGCATCCTCGCCAACCGTCACGGGACAGCTTCCACCGACCCGTGGCGTAGTCGTGGGCTCCTTCTAGTCCCGATGTGGGAGCCTGAGTAAAGGAAATGTGGGTCAGTGAGAACACTAAAGGCGAGGTGTCACTTGGCAGCGCCTTCCCCATCGCGGAACACTCCATCCCTCGGGCCTCTGCGAGCCCGGACCTTGACCCTTCAGGCACCGACCCAAGCCCCGCAGGCCGTTCGCTCTGTCCAGCAGACTTCCTCAGCTCTGTAGGCCCAGTCAGGCATGCGATGCCCCACCAGCGACAGGCCGACTTATCACAGCCCGGCCCTCCAGTGCTAGCCGCCCAAGCCATGACACAACACCCCAGCCAGCTTCCTGCGGAAATCCCGCCCCCTCGCCCTGGCACTCACTGAGCCCCTGCCCCAGGCACGCCGAGTGCCGAGCGCAAGCGGGACCGACCTTAGGGCGCCCTTCCCTACACGCACTCACCGCTCGGCGCAGGCGCGTAGCTCATCGGAAATCGGCTACTTGGGTCTGTCTCCTCGCCGCCGCGCGCACTTTGTCAAAGTGGGGGCCTGGGTTCCCGCGCGCGGGTGTGAGTGATGCTCTCCGGGCTTCTTCCGCTTTCACTGTGGCCGTCCCGAACGAGGCCACCTCCTTTTTCCTCACTAAGCCTCCTCCTTCCATTTCTGGGTTGTTTTCCCCTTGTTCTTGCGTCCGCATGTGGCCGGGACGCTATCGTGGAAGCTTCACGCAGGAGTGCTGTTCCCGAGAAGACTCGCCAACCCTACCACCATGAACGGGGTCGTAATCCCCCAAACGCCCATTGCTGTGGACTTTTGGAGGCTGCGCCGTGCTGGAACCGCGCGGCTCTTCTTTTTATCGCACATGCACTCTGACCACACGGTGGGCTTGTCTAGCACTTGGGCACGGCCCCTCTACTGCTCCCCAATCACCGCCCACCTCCTGCATCGTCGCCTCCAGGTATTGGAGCTGGGTTTGGCCTCTGATTCCTAGTTCAGGAATCTGAGTGGGAACTTCTGATCTGTCACAGCTTGGGGATCACGGAGTGGGCGCCATAAAGACTTGAGTTTTTACAGATGTGGAAGTTGATCCCAGAGTAAGACTAGCCTCCAGCTAACTGACTGGGGATTTTTAGCTGTAAATTTAGACAACGAAATTATTTACTATCTTTTCATGAATACTAAACCAGTGTCTCCCTAATTTGCTTTTAAGAATCCACCAGACTGAGGAAGTAGCTCAGTGTTGGAGCATTTGTTAAACATGTGCAAGTACCCTAAGTTACATTCCCTACCCCCCAATCAGTAATTCATCTACTGTGCTAAATTTAAACACACACACACCAAACACCTATTATCCAACTTCTTTCATCTTGTCTGATTCAGTAGATGTGGCTGGTATAAGTCCTGACTAGAATTTTCTCTTGACAGTTGTCTCCCACCCCTGCTGGAATTATGATAGAAAAAAGTTTGAGAGTCTATATCTCGATTGTTTTTAGATTCTGAGTTTAAATTGATACCAAGGGTGGGGAGCCAGAAGAGGAAGGACAGGTTGTTTGGGAATCCTTTTAACAGCTTGCATGAGAGTGTTTCAGGCCTTGTCAGCTTTACTTGATGGGTGTTAGTCCCTGATCCAGAAAGTAGACTGAGATACTAGTGTGACCAACTGTTTCCACAGGTGTCTAAGCAGTGGATCCGAGCCCTAGAGATTGGTGAGAGCCATGTATTACCTCTAGATGAAATTGGGCAAGAAACCATGACTGTAACCCTTATAGATGCCAATCACTGCCCTGGTTCTGTCATGTTTCTCTTTGAAGGATACTTTGGGACAATTCTCTATACAGGTGAGCCTTTCCCCAAGATGTCCCTCTCACTTTCCAGCTGTGTAATTTCTTTTGGTTTTTTAAAACAGGATTTCTCTGTGTAGCTTTGGAGCCTCTCCTAGCACTCACTCTGTATAGACCAGGCTGGACTCAACACATAGGTATCGGCCTCCCACTGCCAAGTGCTGGGATCAAAGACATGCATCACTACCACCCCGCCCAGCTGTGTGATTTCTGAAGCTTTTTCACTCAGAAGAATAGTCCCTGTAGCTTCATCTCATATAGGCACAGTGACCCTTTTCAACTGTTTGAATATCTAAACCTTGTTAAGAATATGAAAATAAGCCAGGTGGTGGTAGCATGCACCTTTAATCCCAACATTTGGGAAGCAAAGGCAGGGGGAGTCTTTCTGAGTTCAAGGCCAACCTGGTCTACAGAGCTAGTTCCAAGACAGCCAGAGCTGTTACACAGAGAAATCCTGTCTCAAAAAAAAGAATATGCAAGTAAAAACACAAGAACAGGCTGGGTGTGGTGGTGGCGGTGGCAGTGGTGCTACGTGCCTTTAAGGTAGAGGCAGGGGAATCTCTACAAATTCAAGGTCATCCTGGTCTACATAGTGAGTTCTAGGACAACCAGGCCTAAGTAGAGAAACCTGATCTCTCAGAAAACAGAAACAAGTGGCCTGGAGAGAAGGCTCAGCAGTTAAGAGCACAGACGTTCTTCCAAAGGACCCTGGTTCAATTCCCAGTGCCCAAATGGCAGTTCACAACTGTCTGTAATCCCTGTTCCAAGGAATCTGGCATCTTTTCATAGACATACATGCAGGCAAAACCCTAATGTGCATAATAAGTATATCTTAAAAACAAACTAAACACAACAAATAAGCAAAAAACAAAAAACCCACAAGTGCAGGATAGAGATATTTTTACAAAGAAGCTATATTGGAGGTAAAGTTCAGTGCCAGGAAACAGTTTTTCCATAAACCAGTAACCAGTGTCCATCTGTTGCAAGGATGGGAGAGGCTTGTCTTCTGTCCATTAGTCTGCCCCCTTCTCCCACCTCCTGTATTGCTCTTCCAGGTGATTTTCGATATACACCATCCATGCTGAAGGAGCCTGCCCTGATACTGGGGAAACAGATTCATACTTTATATCTTGACAACACCAATTGCAATCCAGCCCTGGTTCTTCCTTCCCGACAAGAAGCTACTCGGCAGATTGTCCACCTCATTCGACAGTTCCCACAACACAACATAAAGATTGGTGAGTGGTTTCCTTTTCTCTCATGCTTAGTGAATCCAGATTCTTTGAAGGTGCTCATTGTTTTCAAGTCTTTGTGCAGGTCTCACCTTTCCTGTAAAACCTACTATGATGAATGAACCTCCTAGCTGGCTTGTTGTTTAATCCCAGCACTTACCAGGCAGAAGCAGCCTGGTCTACATAGTGAATTCCAGTGTGAAAGACCCTGTTTAAAAAAAAAAAAAAAAAAAAAATAGAAACTGCCCACTATCATCCTCAACCCTTTCCACAGCTCTGGCATTAAATCTACGGTCTCACATATGTTAGGCAAATACTATACCATTGAACCCTCTTGTTTAAAATGTTTTTATTTTTAGTGCTAAACTTATTAGCATGTGCTAGCTCAACCAGTTTTTATGGTGCTGGGACTGAGCTGAGGGGTTTTGTACATGTTAGGCAAGCACTCTGTCAACTGAACTACATCCTTAGCCCCAAACTTACTCACTTTTTATAGTATTCATCACCTCCAAGTATATCCTGTACAATTTAAATATGCTGTTTCTTATATTCCCAATAATGTACACACATACCAATGTGAACTAAGACTCATTAAGAAACCCTTAAGATAGCCAGGTGGTGGAGGTAGCACACACCTTTAATCCCAGCACTTGGGAGGCAGAGGCAAGCGAATCTCTGAGTTTGAAGTCTGCCTGTCTACAAAGTGAGTTCCAGGAGAGCCAGAGCTGCACACAGAGAAACCCTGTCCCAAAAAAGAAACAAACAAACAAAAAAGATAGCTAGGCAGTGGTAGCACACACCTTTAGTCCCAGCACTTGAGAGGCAGAGACACAGAAATTTCAGAGTTTGAGGCCAGCTGTCTACAAAGTGAGTTCCAGGACAGCCTGGACTACAGAGAAAGCCTGTCATGGGGAAAAAAGGAAAGAAAGAATGAATGAAAAGAAACCCTTAAGAGGGCTGAAGGGATAGCTCAGTGGTTAAGAGCACTGGCTACTCTTTCAGAGGACCCAGGTTCTATTCTCAGCACCCACATGGCAGCTCACTCCAGTTCCAGGGGATCCAATCTCTCTTCTTACCTCCAAGGGCTCCTGCACACATGTGGTACACAGACATACACACTCAAGCTCATGTACATACAGATAAATTAAACATAAATATTTTTTTAAAAAAAGGAAAGAAACCCCTCAAATTTAAGAGGAAGCTTTATGTATCAAGAGAATCAGCAGCCAGTGTGACAAGTACATAGTAGGCAAAGAGGCTAGAAAAGCAGGAGGGGTTGTGGTGGTATTAAGTCACTTTGAATTGATTCTTATCTCAATAAAGAGCTACTGAATGGCTTCAAGTAGAAGAGGAACAGTATCCACTTAATTGTCTCATAATATATATTCCATAGTTTCCATGTTTATTCTTTTTAATAAAGGAATGTAGAGTCTAATTAAAGCACCTAATAAAAAGGTGCTTTAAATAGGCACATTGAAAAAAACAGCTGTTGGCTTATTCTGGTGACTCCACAGTGACACACAATATTTTGGGGGCTTTTGAAGTTGCTTTTTGAGGTATAGTTTATGAAAATCAACTTCTTTAAAAAAAAAAAAAAAGATCAACAACAACAAAAAACAGCTTTTGTTCTAAATAACTTCTTTGGTTGTTCTAAAAAATTATAGGTCCTCAAAGAGTTAAACAAAATCTTAAAGCATATGTCCCAACTCTGAAAGGAGTTTCAAAAATGGCCTTAAGTAAAAATAATGAAAAAATTATATACTTTTCAGGGTAGCTAACAAACTGATTGAGAAATATTCCTAATCCTCAGAATGACTGAACTATTCATGAAGAAATGCTATCTCACCATTCTTGAAGTATGATGTGTAGAATTTTCTTGTAGAAGCACAGTGGGTTAGGAGAGTGCCTGAGGTAGGGCTTGATTAGTTTTGCAAATATATAATAAATCCTGTAATGTGCCACATATCCTATGGGCAGGGTTATAAAATCCAGATAGAATATGGTGTCTGACTTTAAGGGTTTCCTGTCTATTAAGAAAGTACCCAAAGATGGAAAAGGATGTATAGAGAGCAGAGAACCTTTTGCCCAAAAGGTGAAATTTGAATCATAATCAAGGGGAGTGGATATAAAGCAAACATTTTTAAGTTCACAGTTTAGTTGTGAGCCAGTAAAGTCTGAAAACAGCAGTTAAATAGCATATCCTGATCTGTTACCACAGCCATTGCTAAAGTTCATGTTTGCATTTCTTCTGGGTGTGTACCTTTTAGCCTTCCAGATGGAATTTCTACTTCCAACTTCTCATCCAGTCATTTAACAGTCCTGCAATTACTTTTTTATCAAGACGTGTTTTGATCACAGTATTCTGATGATTGAAATGTATCACTTTCCTACCTCACACTGTTCAGCAGCTCCCGCTTCATCTACAGCATTAAGTTCTAACTCCTTTTCAGTACTCGTGTGGCCCACTAATAAATGATCTGATTTGTCTTTCTAGTGTCATATCTCACTAATCATCTTTACCTTGGTAACACTGAGGTGGTCCTTCAAAATATTTTCTACCATATACCCTTTTCTTACTAGTTAACCCTGATTCATCTTTTAAGATACAGCTCCATTTCCTTTCAGCAAGAATGGTCATCTCCCATTAATTAGCCAAAATGACAAGCACAAAGGGAAAGAGGAAATGTTCCTGATGTTTAGGCTCTCAGCCATGGAGTTATTCCCTTGGGTGGGTGGGTGGATGGGTGGGTGGGTGGATGGATGATGATGGATGGATGGATGGATGGATAGATAGGTAGATAGATAGGAATGTTCATGCAGGGGAATATTAGCGACATCAAGGGACTGGGTTCTGTCCAAAAAGGAATATCCTATAGGTGTTCCAATGACAAAACTGAAGAGTCTCTAGCATTACCCATCATGCTATTGGCATTATTGTAAACAAGCAAGTTAAAGATAAGATTGCCAAGAGAACTGATACACATTGAGCACATGAAGTGCTGTATGGAGTGAGAGATCACAGGTGAAGGAAAATGATCAGAAAAATAAAGGCCAAAGAGGAAGGTACCTGAGTCAAACTGAAGTGCCCAGCTGATCTATAAATTCATGGCTTAATAGATATAAATAAATTAGTTGCCTCTTGATTGTACAAGTGAGGTTTTTGTTGTTTTGTTTTTTAATGGAATGCTTCACAAATTTATATATCATCCTTGTGCAGAGCCCATGCTAATCTTCTCTGTATCGGTCCAATTTTAGTGTATGTGCTGCTAGAGTGAGCACGAGGTTGTTTTTGTTTTTTTAGTTAAATGAAAGTGTTATTCTCTCCCCCAAAGAAATGTTTAAATTTTCCATCACCCCTCCCCAAAATGGACTTGGCTCAACTGTCATATGTCATTTCCTAATTTCATCAGCTGGTAGCTCCTTCTATGCGTTTATAACACTGTATACCTGTGTGTGACATTACCCAGCATTACGTTGTTTGTGAGTCTGCAGATAGATAATACTCTTGGAGAGCTTAAGCTTTTTTAATCTGTTTCCACAGGCCTAACACTTGATACTTTGTCTTGTTGACCTGAAAGAATAACTGGATTTTGTGTACTCCATACCGGCATCTGCTATGTATCTTAAATGCATGACCTTCTTAATATACTTCCTGGATTACCAAATAGATTTTACATATTATTGCTGAATATTTGTATAGTGATATAATTTATTAAAGTTTGCCTGAGGATTCAGAAAGCAAAGTTAGCCACAAGCCATAGCAGCCAGGCAAGCACCATAATTCCAGCAGCCAGAAACTAGGAGGTGGTGGCACACATCTTCAATCCTAGGACTCAAGATTAAGAGGTAGATGATTCTCTGTGAGCCTAAGGCCACCCAGATCTACACAAGATTGATCCAGTCCTAAAGAGAAGCAGCTCACACAAAGATGATCTTAGTACCTGGGATCACATGCCTTTAATCCCAGCATTAGGAAGGTATGTAAGACAGGAGCAAGGAGTCAGTATCAGGCATTCATTCTCTAGCCACACTGAAAATAGAATTCATTCCAGCTGTGCTGAGGAGACAGCAGGATCAGCCCATTCAACCTGAGGTCGTGGTAAGAGCTAATGACCCTCTACTTTGCTTTTCTGTTCTTCAGCTTGAAGTTTGAACCCAAATATCAGTCACTGGGTCTTTTATTTATACTACACATTTGGTTGATCAGGAGTCTTTAATACCTTCATGTGGTAATATATTATTTATGATGTATTAAAGCTTGCCTGAAGATCAGAGAAGCAAAACAGCCAAGCCAGTAGATCTTACCTCTACTCAGCTGAAATGGTAATCCTGACTCCATAAATTCTCAGAGGCAAAAGATCTCAGTTCCTTTCTTCCTCCTGCCTTTTATTCTTTTCTCTGCCCAGCCATATCACTCCTGTCTTCACCTCCCTAGTGTTGGGATTAAAAGCGTCTGCTGAGATCACCTTTGTGTGAGCTGTTTCTTTTAGGACTGAATCAATTTCCTGTAGTCACTGTGGCCTTTAACTAACAGAGATCGGCTGCCGCTTAATTCTGAGTCCTGGGATTAAAAGTGTGTGCTCCCACTTGCTTGGCTAGCTAGTATGGCTGCTGGGATTAAAGGTGTATATCTCCACTGCCTGAACTCTATGGTCAGACAAGTTTTAATAAATTATAAATAATGTATCACCACAATTCCTCAGCTGGGTAGAGGTAAGATCTACTGGCTTGGCAGCTTTGCTTCTCTAATCTTCAGGCAAGCTTTATTAATCATAAATGATATATCACCACATCTCCCTTACCTTCTTTCTCTTATTTTCCCCACCCCCTTGAACATAATTTAGGACTCTATAGCCTAGGAAAAGAGTCACTGCTGGAGCAACTAGCCCTTGAGTTTCGGACCTGGGTGGTATTGAGTCCTCAACGCCTGGAGTTGGTACAGCTGCTGGGACTCGCAGATGTGTTCACAGTTGAGGAAGAAGCTGGGCGCATCCATGCTGTAGACTATATGGAGATCTGCCATTCTGCCATGCTTCAGTGGAACCAGACTCACCCTACCATTGCTATTCTTCCCACAAGCCGGAAAGTACGAAGCCCTCACCCAGACATCCACATCATCCCTTACTCTGACCATTCATCTTACTCTGAGCTTCGGGCTTTTGTTGCAGCTCTGAGGCCTTGCCGGGTGGTGCCCATTGTTCGCCAACAGCCTTGTGGAGAGTTCTTTGAGGACAGCTCGAGTCCTGGGCTCCCTATACTGATGATCCCACATTCTGTGCAGCAATACATGTGTTCCTCCCCTAGGGAAACAAATGTGCGTTGGCAGTTAGAGAGGAGACTAAAGAGGCCAAGAATCCAAGGTGTTGTGTTTGAATCCCCTGAGGAAAAAGCCGACCAGGTTAAAGTTGACAGAGACACCAAGCACATGAAAGAAACCCTCTCACCCTGGCCTGGGGACCTTGAAAAGCTCTGCCCCCATCCTCTTCGGGCCAGAAAGCAGTTGTTCCCAGACTTCTGCAGGAAAAAATGTGATGAGCCAGTCCTTTCTTGTGACTCCAAAAAGAGGGTGACTATGTTGACTGCCCCATTGGAATTTTCAGTGCAATTACAGCCTGTAGATGAGTTTATCTCTCCAGAAACCAAGGAGGAAATTGGTGTAAGGTCTCACTTGATACCTAGAAGAGGCAATGGCTCACCAGCTAGAGGGAACCCAAGTGACTGGATAGGCTATGATTCTCTCCAGTCTCACATTACCAAAGACACTCATCTAGCTACTGAGTCCAGGTGCCTGGCACTAAAATACCTTCTTACTCCAATGAATTTCTTCCAAGCAGGTTTCTCTTCCAGGAACTTTGACCAGCAAGTGGAAAAATACCAGGAGAGTACAGTATAACAATCCTATTGGATCAGCACTGCAGTTTTGAAAACAGTGGCTGATGGCTAGTGGCAAAAGTTTGTTTGGTGTCTTCCTTTATAGAATCCTGTGCTCACACTGGAGTAGCTCTTCTGAAGTTTGTTTGTGGAGTTCTGGTGCCTATGAAACTCTTAGCTTTATAGCTGACTATTTATGTTAATTTTATTATATTTAACAAACACTTTTCATTATAAACCATTCAGTGTTCATAAGCACATTTAAAGTTCTTAGAAGTTCCCTAGCAACTTAATCTGTTCAATTTGGTTTAACCCAGTTTTTCTTAAACTTTTATCAACATGCATTTTTTTTTTTTTGTTTGCTTTGTTTTTGTTTTGTTTTGTTTTGCTTTTTTGTGGAAAAAGTAGAATCTGGAAAAAAAAAAAAAAAAGAGCCAAGTTTTTCCCGTGTCTTACTCTTTGAGTCTCCTTGTCTCCTTCATTTTACAAATTGTGGTGCTAGAGGATAAGTGATAGCCTGAGTAGCATGTTCTAATCATGAATGTCACTGACTTGCTGTGACCCATTCCAGGTAACTTCCTGTCTCTGCCTCAGGGAGGGAACAGGAAGCAATGAAGAGGCCTTGAAACTTGAGAAAATACCACCTTCCTCCTTCATAGTGGGGGTTAGTAGCTATCATGAGAAATCCATCTGGAACAGTCATTTGGGGGCTGGGGACTCTGCACCATGGAATAAGCTGAACATTAAGGCCTAGAATATGTCTGAACTACTGGATGCTTGGAGACACTACTTTGTTAAAATAAAGATATAAAAGATAAATGTGTTGCCAGATATTCCTCTGATTGTTCTCATAGCTGGAATTTTTTCCCCACCCCCACCAATTTGAGTTAGGAAGCCAAAGAGTGCAGAGCTTGTTTATTTTAGTATCCAGGGGAGAGACCAAGGAGCCAGCTGGCTGGAACCAGTCAGAGTGTGCCATTTACCCTGTCTTGCTTGTAACCTAACAAAATGCCAAACCAGCAAGCAAACCAGATGATAGCACAGCCCTAAGGAAATGTGCTCTGGGAGGGCACAGGAGAGCTGGGCATGTGGATCAAAGCAGCTTCTTTTGGAGCCTTGAACCTTAGCAATGAAGAAGACATCTCTTACCGGAGGGAAGCAGTTTTGCTGCTTTGGAAAGGAGAGGTGAAATTTAGAGAGCAAAGGCGTTGCTCTTGGACATACTGTCCTCAGTGCTGTTTTTGTCAGTGACCTTCCTATAAACCTCCAAGGGCCTCTCAGGAGCTGCAGCAAGTGAGACGTGGTACAACAGGAAACCTGGACGTTGCCTGGGCTAGAACCCAGGGTGCCTGGCAAATGGTTTAAACAGAGGAACCTTACTCAGCAGTAAAGTGGTGGCTGAGATGCCCCTCTCCCATGTTTGCTATGCACATTAATTTATTGGTGATTCCCTAGCTCAGTGTCTGGTACATGACAGTATTTGAAATGCTGGTTTTTGTAGCTGAAGGTATGGTGCTGGTAGGATGTGTTTACCAAGCTGAAGTCCTGGGTTCTATCCTGAGTGCCACCAAAAGATAGCAATAGTAATAATGCAACAAAGACTTGATTGTCTTAGCCTTTGTTCTTCAAAACAATTCTCTATAAAAGTACAAAGTAAGCTGGGTAATGGTGGCACACACCCTTAATCACAGTAGGGACAGGTGGATCTCTTGACCCCCTCCCAAAAAGAAAGAAATACAAAGTAAAATAAAATGTCTTTCATGTAGATTGATGGCCCTTTTTCTAGTCTTTCTGAGGATTTAAATATTAAATCTACACACGTTCAGATAGGATAATTCACACACATGTGTGCAGGCACATGCTGATAATTTTTTTTGTTTTTAATGTAAAGGGTACTGGAGAGATGCCCTGGTGGTTGAGAGTCTTACTGTGCTCTTAAGGACCTGAGTTCAGGTCCCAGCACTCACAGCAGGTGGATCATGACCACCTGTAACTGGAGTTCCAGGGGGCCTGGTGCTCTCTGACTTCCATGAACAACTGCACAACTGCACGTGAACTCATGCAGTCTCACACAATACACATAAATAAAAATAATTTTTAAAGGGACCAGTGAGATGGCTCAGTGGATAAAGGCACTTGCCACACTGGTGAACTGGGTTCAATCTCCAGGACCCACATAAAAGGAGAACTGAGTCCAGAAAGTTGTCTGCCAACTGACTGGCATGCGTGCCTGTCCGTAAACAGTAATGGCAGGGGGACTGAGAACACTGTTGTATATGACTTTAAATTCTGCATTTTACTTAATTTCTTAATTGCAATTCAAAATGTCAATATCAAAAATGCCCATTTTAATAAGATCATGTCTGGTGAATACATGTTAATAAACCATTCTCAATATAAATTATTATAACAATTTTCAACATTTGTATGCTGTTTGTTTTTTTAATCTTTTTTTAGATCATTTTGTGTGTATATGTGTTTAGTTTTATAAATGTTATGTGCATTTCATGTATGCCTGGTACCTACCCGTGGAAGTCATGAGAGTGTGTTGAATCCCTTAGAATTGCATTTATGGATGGTTATAAGCCACCATATGGGTGCTGGAAACTGAATGTGGGGGTCCTTACCTCTCCAAGAGCAACAAATGTTAACTGCTGAGCCATCTCTCCAGGCCCTTTATACTGTTCTTAATTACAAATGTTACAATGAACTTTTCTCTTGGCAGTGCTGGGGATCAAACTTGGCATTGAGCATGCTAGGCAAATTCTCTGCTGGTGAGCCACATTTCCAGCCCTACAATGTATTTATGCATATATGTTGGCATTTTAATTTATAACCTTGGAGTAACTTTTTAAAGAATTACTATTTTCTGTTCTTGGTGTAGATTATGACAAATTGTCCTCCAGAAAAGTTTCCATTATTTTTATAGAAGCTGATAGCAAGTTCAAATGAAGTCACTAGAATGACACACTAACGTGTGTCAATTCATATTGTGTTGTTGATTAGTGTTTAATATTTAGTGCTTGCCTTCTCTAAAATTCCCTTAGCTCTCTCACTTCTGGTTGACTCACAGGTGGCTGGAAGAGATAAAGTAGGTCCCAGCAACAGGGCCACCATATTGCTGTTATCTTCTAGCAGCAAGGGGGTCTGCCCACTTTTGGCACATGCTGTGTCATACATGTTCCATGAAGCAGATGGAAGCAGAAGAAAGCAGAATGAAGGGCTTTGAGGAATTTAGTTTTTCATAGTGTGTTTATACTTTAATAATGAGAAAATTCCATGCCATTTTACTAAAGTAAAAATGTCTGACATGATAGAGATGGACAATTGCTTTAATTTCATGGAACTCTCATATTTAAAAACACTGTGTCCCATCTGTCTGTAAGTCACCAATTAGAATTACTTTATTTTTAGAATCTAAGGATGACACCCACCCCTAAAAAAATATATGAGAATCTTGCAATTAGGTTGGAAGGTGCCTGGAAAAGAAAAGCTCCCTAGAGACTCATTACTGACTGTTTCATGATCAGTGGAGAACTTGTACTTTTCCACAGGCTCAAGTCCATTTACAGGGAAAAAAGAAATCTGTCAGGCAGGTTTTGAAGGACCATCCCTCACTACTGACCCAGATTGCCCTTCGTGGTAGGAAATAGGAGACATGAGTGGCTTTTTGTTTGTTTTGTTTTTAGAAAAGAGGTTCTGACCTAGGTTCTCCAAGGCAACTCCAGGAGAGACAGTTCTTTTTGCATTCTTTTTTATCTGATTATTTTTGTGTGTATAAGTGTTTTTCCTGCATGTATGCCTGTACCACATGCATGTCTGGCTCCTGAGGAAATGGTGAATTTCCATATGGCTGCTGGGAAGTGAATGTGGGTCCTTTGCAAGAACAGCATTCTTGAAGAGTTTTTGTTTTGTTTTTTCAAGTCAGGGTTTCTCTGTGTAGCCCTAGCTATCCTGAAACAGACCAGGCTGGCCTCAAACTCAGATATCCACCTGCCTCTGTCCCCCACCTCCCAGTGCTGGAATTAAAGGTACTTCCACACCAGGTTCTTGAATTCTGTGTGGGTCTCCATGCACATTTTTGCTGCTACCACTAATGAGTAGTTGTCTGTTCATTGCTTGCCTTCCAAAGAATCCTACCAGAAACTTCTTTATCAGGGGTTTGTGGTCTTTCCCTTTCTCTTCCTCAGGACATCTGCCTATACTGTACTGAATGTGCTTTTCTCATTTACCATCAGAGTTTACACTGCCTTCGAGGTTCAGTGTCTCTTTTGACCATAGTGCTTTTCTTTAACAATACCCCTCTACCTTGACTATTTGTGTTAAACTTTCTTTTCTTTTCTATTTTAAATTGTTTATTTGTCAGTATGAAGGCATATGCACATGAGCACCCTCAGAGACCAGAGGCATTGGACTCCCTAGAAATAGGGTAATTGGAAGTTGTGGGTTGCAGAATATAGGCTATGGAAATAAACTGGGGTCTCTCGCCACCCCCTGCTTTCTCATCTTTTATCATACCCGTGGTCCACTAGATCACATGAATTTTCCCAAATCTTGTCCGTGTTTCTAATTCTAGACAGGTAGCTTTTTGAATCACTGTTCAATCATAGAAAATTTCTGGCTGAGTTTAGGTTAGTCATAACCAGAAGGGCTGTTACCCAAAGCAACCAAGGATACATTTGTCCAAGTGGAAAAGGACTGGAGTGAAATCATGGTAAGTTTCAAATGTTATGGTGAGTAAGTTTAACTGGGAAATTCTCAGACATGGCCAGGGCCAACAGAAGAATAAGTGGTAGATCCGAGGTCCCAAATCTAGAGTTACACAGAGCAGAGGAGGCTGGGACGATCATTTTAGAATGCTGAAGGTAAGTGGGGCTAGGTGGTGTGTTTGATCTGATTCTGGGTCCTACACCATCTTTATAAATCATTGGCTTTTAATCAGTTCTGAATTTCTTTTCAACTCCTACATAAGAAAGGTGGAACCACTCCCTGGAAGAGAACATACTAGTGTCACCACAAATGCTAACCTGTGGTTTCTTTAAAGCTGCTTTTCATTTCCGTGTGTCCTTGATTCCTCTTATGTGTGCCTCAGTGGTTATTCCAAACCTTTATGATTCAAACTGTTGTGACATATAAAGCCTTAGGAAGAAATCTAGAGTACCAAGCCATGATATCCTGAAGCAGTATCCTTGAAACAGAAATATGTCTGGTTGTTCACCCCCATCCCAAGGACGGCAGAATTGCATGCTTCCGTACTTTACAGCTCCATTTAAACCCCATCTTTCACGAGTTCAGTCTTTAAGATCTTATCCTACGCTTCCTTTCTTCCTTCCTTCCTGTCTTCCTTCCTTCCTTTCTTCCCCAGATTCTCAAGTCTAAGTCTGTGATAAGCAAATTCCTCTGTCATTATCTTACAGTCTCTCTTACCTCCCATTGCTAAGTTGAAGACTGGTTGTTGTCTGAGCACACTGCTTTCTGGCTAGCCTCTCTCAAAGATAAGCTATTTTGCCAGCTGCAATGGAACATTCCTATAATTCCAGCACTTAGGAGGTGGAAGCAATAGACTTGAGAGTTCAAGGTCATCCTGTGCCACATAACTAGGTTTAAGGCCAGCCTGACCTACATGAAGCCCTGTCTTACCCTGTCTCCCACAGAACTGCAAAAGCCACTTTTCTATCCCCAGAGCTTAAGGTAAGGAATTGGAGTTAAGGTCCTTGCTTCTCTTGCTGCTTCCTATTACCCTACTTCTACCCATGATAATCTCTTCTTCAAATGGCTACCATCTGGCTAGAGTATCCTTGCCTCTCCTAGTTTGTTAAGGACGGAGTCGCTGCCTCCTGAGTGCTGGGATTAAAGGTGTGCACCACCACCCCTGAGTGAGCTACCACAACTGGGTCAGTTGGATGTGTAGGGAGGTTGTTTTTGCCTCTTACCCCACCCTGAGTGCTAGTGTCATAGTGTGCTTGTCTTTTACATGGGAGCTTGGGATCCACACTCAGGTTTTCATACTTGCTTGGCAGGGTGCCAGGGATCTGAACTTGGATCCAACATGTTTGTGTGACAGGCACTTTACCAGTGGAGCCATCTCCAGGCCCCCAATTACCAATTTTGAATATTTGTGGTTTACATCTCCCAGACTTTCTGATTTTCCAGTGGCCATCACTGGAAATGAATAATAAGGGTAGTTGCAGGAGACCTCTTAAAAGAAATTCTCACCTTCCTCTTTCTTCTCCTCCATTCCATTTTTCAAGACTGACCTAGAACTATCTCTTAACCCAGGTCAGACTGAAACTCACAATCTCCCTACTTTTCAAAGTGACTTTCAAAAATAATAGTTTTAAAAAAAAGTTAAATTCACAGCTATCAATACAAATTCCTTATTATGAGGTTTTGGTTTTTCAAGTTAGGATTTCTCTGTGTAACCCTGCTGGCTATAATGGAATTCCATTTGTAGATTAGGCTGGCCTTGAACTCACAGAGATCCCCCTGCCTCTGCCTTCTAAGTGCTGGAATTAAAGGCATGCACAACCATCGCCCAGAAACTCTGTTTTATAGTCAACTGAATTTTAGTAGCTTGGGCACTGTGAATAAACACTTGGTAATTTACTCAGCAAAATATATTAACCTTCCGGGCATTGGTGGTGCACACCTTTAGTCCCAGCACTCATGAGGCAGAGGCAGGAGGATTCTGTGAGTTCAAGTCCAACCTGGTCTACAGAGTTAGTTCTAGGACAGGCTCCAAAGCAATACAGAGAACCCTGTCTCGAAAAAACAACCAATCAACCAACCAAACAAACAAACAAAAAAAAATCCATATCAACTATGTCAAGAATTGTGCTATGTAAAGGGCCCTTTCATGAGGGCCTTTTTGCTTTCTGAGTCTGTAGGAAGCATAAAATTATGTGGAGGAAATAATATTCAAGCATTAAATTTCTAGTCCTTGTTCTGATTCATTGTCTTCTCCCTGGTGGGTCTCTGTGTGCCTCCCCAGAACATTAGTTTTGTTTTGGGATGTTGCTTGGAATTGATAAGGAAAGAGGTGGAATGTAGGTGTTAAAAGTTTATGTGGGAGTTGGCAAAGTAAAAGTGAGATGCTACAGAGCAGTGGGAATGGGATAATGAAAATGATGACCAAGGGAAAGGAAGAGAAAAACTATAGTCTTTGGTTTTGATTAAGGGTTGGTATATGATAAAAGGGAGAATATAGTGTTTTTGTAGGGAAAGGAAGCCATCAGAAGTAATTAGAAGGAGGGTCTACATAGTGAACAAAGATTAAGAATTTAAGATTGTCCTTCCCCAGACTACTCTCCAGTTTGATCTGTCTTTTTTGTTGTTGAAGCTGTTTTTTTTTTTTTTTTTTTTGATATAGGTTTCTCTTTGTAACAACCCTGGCTGTTCTGGGACTTGATTTTTAGATCAGGCTGGCCTCAAACTCATGGAGATCCAACTGTCTTTGCCTCCCAAGTGCTGGGATTAAAGGTGTAGGCCACCACTCCTTCTTTTATTATTGAGGTGAAATTGTGTGCAATTAGCTAGCTATTTTAAAGTATGCAATAAAGTGGCATTCATTGCATTCGTGGTGTGCAATGAACACCATTCTCTAGTTTCATGTTCTACTTCTTTTGATCCCTTGTATTTCAGTCTTCCACTTAAATCTCATAGGCATGCCCTTCCTCCAGACTCCTATTCCACCAAAATGTCATTTTCTCTGGGACCGGGACTCCAAAATGTCACCCCCAGAATTCATGCTAGATTTGGCCTTTATAAAAACAATTAAGTGGCCAAAACTTGTCTTGGTTAATCTAGGGTAAGTGATAGAGAAAGTAATCAAAGCAATTCTCTTCATGACTTCTAAAATATAGTTAATGTGGATAGCACAGATCCAAGTCGTTTGTTTCTTTTTTTCAATATTGAGAGCTAGAAAAAGGCATTGCCTAGAATAGGCTTGATCACTCAGTTGGATGAAAGTTTCTGCCCAGCTGACAGCCGTAATCCCAGAAGCATATTGCTTCTGCCTGCATGGTGCCTAAGCTTGATCTCACCAAGATTAGTAGTGGCTGTTTAATTGTCAGATCCACTGGGTCTACCAGCCATCTTTCACTTCTCAGAATCTTTCAACACTGCAGATCAGCATTTTCTTTTAGAAAAACATCAAAGAGACTATCTCCTATTATTAGATAAGCTAAAAATCCCTGAAAATAGAAAATGTATCCCACAGTGGCTTAGTTAAGAGAAAGTCTAGAAGTGGGGGCATTTCTAGGTTTATTCAGAAGCTTAATGAACAACTCATTCCATTGTTCTTGTCCCCTAAATGCTCTCTCTATTACTTTTCATGAGCTTTAGGCTGGGGTCTGAATACCGTTTTCTCAGAAAGCAGACAGATACAGGTCTGGCTGCAAGTGACTTCAGGCTCTACGCTGCTCTTCCAGCTTCTAACAGCCCCATCTCCCTTTCCAGCAGCTCTGCCCTTGTCTGGGAGGAAATGCTTCCTCTGCCCCTCTCACCAGCATTCCTCCACCCCCCCCCACCCCCATCTTCCTCCACTGCAGCCAGCTCTTCCTTACTACCACTTCTTTCTTATTACTTCTCTGATGAAGCCTCTAGCAGCACCTCACTAATTCCCCAAATTGGAGTCTACTTGCCTTACTAATCCTGGTATGGAGTTGGGGGAGCTAACTGTCAGCTCCTTCAGTGCACAGGCTTCATTCACCATTTCATCTTCAGTTTCTAGTAATGTCTGGCACACTGGAGCTATCCTATGGACATTTCTTGAAGGAATAACAGGCTTGTGGCTGCACTAAACTTTGAAGCTTTGTTGACATGCTCAAATATGATCTTCTCTGATGATCTTCTCTGACTTCAATATTCAAGTCATGTATATTTGAATTCATTTTTCTTCACTAAACTGAAAACTGTGGGAGGGAAAAGACTGTATCTTACTCATCTTTCATCTGAACTAGTGTCCAGGGAGTGGTCTGGCATGAAGGATTTTGTTGGATGAATGAGCAAATGACATTAGCAAGGAAAAATACTAGACTTTAAAAAGTTCCCCGAAACTCATAAAATAAACAAACAAACAAACCAAAACCAAAAATCTCCTAAATTGGGCTGTAGTGGTATACACCTTTAATCCCAGCACAAGGGAGCCAGAGGAGGTGGATCTCTGTGAGTTTGAGGCCAGCCTGGTCTATGGAGTGAGTTCCAGGACAGGCAAGACTACACAGAGAAACCTTGTCTCAAAAACACAAAACCAAAACCAAAGTTCCCTGAAGAATGAGACAGATTGAGGAAAGGAGTTAAGAGCAATGCAAATAGAAACTAATTATTGTAATAAGCAGCAGATGATGGTACTAGAACTCGGCAGTCAGTCAGGAAGGGTTCTCTACAGGTAAAAATTGAGATGTTTTAAACACAAAAGGGACATAGCTTGAGAGAGTAAATTAGGAGTCAGTCATAGAGTTCTGGTGAAGTAGGGCAAAATGCACAATTCATGACTAAAGCCTGCTTTTTAAGCAGGATCTGCTCAACCCCAGGCCTCAAGTTTCTGCCTTTTTCTTGGCTCACTAAGCAGACATGTTCATTCATTCTTGTGTCTTGATTTTTCCAGGGCCAGGCCAATGTGGGGACTTCATGTTCTCTAAACAGTCAAGAAGGAAGTTTCTGTGAAAATAAGCAAACAAACCTGTCCTGTGGGATTGAATGCTTTTGCTAACCCTGGCTCTCCAGGGAAATGAACTTCCCTGTTCCAGTGTTAAGAAGAGAAACTCAAAAGACTTTCCTTAAAAGGTATTGTAGGATAGTTAGAAAATTTTTTGTGAGGTGAAGATCCAAAGAAATCAAGGATGTATAATGAGTGAGGTCTCAGAAATATAAGAGATAGAAAGGTAGGTTTTCTAGGTCTGCTCCCTGCTCAGAGTACATGTAACTACCCATGGTGGATTCAAACAGTTGCTGACTTTAGTAACTGTGAGATGGAACATATAAAATCTCTCTCTCTCTCTCTCTCCCTCCCTCCCTCTCTTTCTCTCTCATCAGTGCCTCACTCTAGACCAACCTGGCCTCGAACCCACAGACATCCATCTGTTTCTGCCTCCTGAGTCCTGGGATTAAAGGCGTGCGACACCACACCTTACTCTCATAAATACTAGTCTCTAAAAATGTTCCCCATCTTAGGAGTCAACAGTTTACACAGCAGAAGATACATCTGAAGTTCTACAGAATCTCTTGAGGCTGAGTTAGCAGCTGTCTACTAAGATAACCTAGTTTTCAGTGTCTATTATTATTATTATTATTATTATTATTATTTAGAACGTTGTGCCAATCGCGCTGTTTCCTAAGTCCGCTGCCTTTCTACCTTCTGTAGAGGTAAGACAATCTGTGTTTACTGCATGCATTGAGGAGCTGAGTTCGGGGTAGTTATTTTCTTGTATTTTCTAACATACCGCAATGGGAGCGCTTCAGTATAGGGAGGCGTCGACATCCCTTTTGCTGCTACAAAGTACTCTACATGGCAGCGAACAATTGAAGCCTAAACTGAGAGAATTCTTCATCCTTCCTCGGGGGTCTTCTCAGGTAGCCAATGTCTCCTCCCCGCGATGCCCAATCGCTACGATGCGGTTGTGTATGGGGGGAATTACACTGGTTTGGGGTGATGTCACACTGGCTGAGATGACATCTAGCAGCGGGAAACCCGACAGACACCAGATGCCGGTAAACCATCTCGGAGACTGCTGAGCGGAGAGGGGCGGGGAACCCGGTCCCCACACACGGTCCACGCTGGCTCCCCACGGAGGCCCATCCGCTCCTGCGGCCGGCGGCACGAAGCAATGACTCCAACCCGCCCGCTCCTCCGCACTTCCGCCTCAGTAGGTGTCATGGCGCTAGGTGGCTGAATGGTTCCGGCGGGGAGGGGCCGGCCGGATGAGGGCGGTCGCTCGGGGCTCCACTTGTCGGGTCTGGCGACAACGGCAGCAGCGGAGCGAAGGGCCGGGCCGTGGCCCCGGACGGCAGCGGGAGGCCGAGGCGGGAGCGCGCGGCGCTGAGGCGGCGGCGGCGGCGGGAAGGGGCCGGGCGGCGGGGCAGGCGGGAGGCTGGCGAGGCTCCGGCCGCGGGACGGGCGCGGGGACGGCTCCGGGGGGCGGGGGCCGGGGCCCGGGCCGGCTCGAGCGGGGGGTATGATGACCCGGCGGCGGGGCCCCGGATCGCGTCTCCTCCGCCGCCTCCTCGCGGCGGCCCCGACTCGCGGCTGAGAACTACACACACCGGCGGTGAGTCAGGCCGGGCGAGGGCCTGGGGCCCGGGCGTCGTGGGGTGGGCGCCCCGAGGTGGGGCCGAGCGGGCCGCGGACTCCCCCGGGCGGCCGGCTTGCACCGGGCGCCTCTTTGGGCAGGCCCCGCGCGGCCCTGGGCGCTGCGCCCCGCTGCCTGGTGGCGAGCGGCGGGACGCGACTGTGGGCCGGGAGAATGCAACTCCCCCTGCCTCCTGCCACTTTCCTCCCGAGCGTGCTGTTGTCCTCAGGTGACGGGCCCGCCAGGCTATCTCCCCACTCTCCGGATCCCCGCCCCTACCCCTGGCTGCGGTGGCAGGTTCCCAATGTGAAGCTTGTGCGTGTGCATGTCACCCCACTGCCTGTCGTCGCTGTACTTCTGGCATATTTGTGCATTTGGGGACCGCGGAGCCGTGTCTAAGAGAAAATCGTGATGGTCGGGTTGGTGTGGAAGCTTTCCTGTTGTCTTCGCTTATGTTCTGTAGTCGTGGAGTTTGTAATTTGTGATGGTGGTGAGGCTATGTGGGGGCCAGCCTGCCTATATATTTATCTTTTCAAGGCAAAGTTAGAGATCTTTTTCAAAAGAAACTTTTGCAGCCCGTCGTTGTTTTCAAAGCCAAAAACGACAACACAACCCCCAAAACGTTAAAGGAAAAGATGGAAACAACGAAAAATTCTTGGGTAGGGCCCACACTATTCTGGGGAAGAGTCTCCCTTTTTTCTTGGCAACCGAGACCTAAAACTTGGTCTCCAGGAGCGTTGGTCTAACCTCCAGTTTGTTGTGGTGACGAACTATGAGCTATGGCCTGTGTTTATGCTGGGCGCGCTTTCTTTCCTGTTTGAGGATGGGACTGAGACTGAGAGGGGGGTGGGGTGGGGTGGGGTGGATAACCCCAGGCTCCAGTAAGTAAATCTTTATGTAACCACTGACTCAGTTGTGGATACTCCTTTTAAGATGCTCATTCTTGTCTATTAGTGACACTTGGAGAAGTAAGTCTCTGTAGTGTAGTGCAGCCACATACTAGTTAGTTTCAAGCATAGACTTCGCTGCCCCAGACCGCCCTTTCTTCTTGTTTCTTAGTAACTCTAATGAAAACAGCAGCGTGGCTTCCTGCACAAGATGAAGTGGGGTTAAATTAAGTGCCTGATACCCTCAGCAAAACCTACAATTTTGTTGTTTGTGCAAAGCTATTTTTGATTTATGGTCTGTAAGGTTTTTTTTCTTTTTAGTTTTGTTAAGATTACAGGGAATGCAAACTATTGTCAGTTTTTTTTTTTTTTTTTTTGGTAAGGCCTAAGGTATTCTGTAAAACAATTAAGAACCTAACTAATCATTGTTACTCAGCAGGTTATTTTGGGTATTTGCATGCAATTTTCTCTCAGTGTTGCCATATGACAAAGGCTTTACGATGCTTGTCTTGGCTTGAAGGATATGTTGGTAAAATATTTGCGATTGAATCTGGAGGCTTCCAAACTGCTAAAGCATTTGACAGAGACGGTGACTACTGTCTTGTATGTGTGTTGGTTCTGCTTGGTTAGTAGTTTGCGATTGCCTCATGGATAGTTGAGCTCTGGCCTTGTATTTTACAGATTTTAGAGCAAGCTTATTGGTAATAGATTTAAAATCAAACCAGATCTTCCTCCTGAAAAAAAAAAAAAAAGTCAAAGTTCACATTTGTCTGGAAAACAGAATTCTTTCCTTCTTTGTTTTTGTTTTTATAAGCACAGATCCACCAGTGATTTGTTGGTGGAATCAGTGAGCCAAACCTGCCTGTGATCTTCTTATACTTGGAACTTGTGCAGCTTGTTAGTTATGTATTTTAATTGGTCCTTTTGTAATTTGAATAATTTCATCAGCCTGAGCAGCCTGATGTCAACTGCCCTTTTCTTGACTGTGTGACAACAATCTATGATTTTGTTAGGCTTTTTCCCCTACACGTTCCCCTTCAGTTTTCCCCTTACTACATACACTTCATGCTGTTTTGCACACAAGTTATTAACATCATTTTCCTGAGCGAACACTTAATCTTCTTTTTGTTTGTTACTAATGCTCTTTGGTTGACCAGGCTGACCTCACACTCCTGAGCTGAAGGGATGGTCCTGCCACAGTGTTACTGAAACTTCATGGTGTTTGGTGTGGGTCTATGTTTTGGCTTTGATTTTGCCTTTTGTCTTTCTTTTTAATTGTAGAAATTCAGCTAGTGTATGCATAATGTATTTCTGTAGTACATGCTTTGTTGCATTTATTCAGAGTGTGTGTGTGCCAGAGAGGACAAATTACAGAAATTGGTTTTCTGTCATGTGGGTCCAGGGGATAGAACTCATGTTTTCAGGCTTAGCAGCAAGTGCCTCTACCCATTGAGCCATTTTGTTGGCCCTCTAGTACCTTTTACAGTTTCCTTTTCCTTTTTGGGTGCATATCACTTCAGCAGCCTTCTAAGGTTATTGAATAAAACATTGTATTTCTTTGGGTTCTTTAAAGGCACCTGGTACCATGTTTTCCTTGTTGCTTAATGAAAAGAAACCAGGAGACCTGACTTCTTTGCCAGCATTTTGCTCATTAGCTCTGTGTAAAACTTACTTGGCCTTTTTGAGCCTCTTTTTTTTTTTCCATATTAGAATTAGAGGATTTTAGAAAGACTTTTTAAAGTCTGTTAGCTGTAAAAGTCTAGTATTTTTTTTTTTTTCTTTCTACTTCTTCTCCAGTCAAATACATTTCCTTCCTCTACATAGTTCCTCATTTTCCATATCTCTTGGATCCCGGCAAAAGTCACCTCATTCTTCTAGAAAGAGCCTCATCTACCTCCCATCTGTCAAACCATTGTTCCCTTACTTAAACCCTGCTTCCTTTTGATCTTTGCTGGCTGATCTGAACAGGGCCCTCACTTGGCATTGTGTTTGATAGTGATCTCTATTTTAATCTTATGTTAGAAATTCTTCAAATTCTAGTTTTCTTTATTTCAAACTTACATAGTAAAATAATACACTTTCCAACAAAGGACCTACTTTTCTTTTGTTCAGTTGCTATAGATTTGTTGTGCAAAGCCAGTCTAAACAGGTATTGAAACTTGGAAAAACATTCTACCTAGGAGGAAAGCATTCTTTAGCCAGGTACCAAAATACATCAGAGCATTTTTTAAATGGCTGAAGGTACACAGAGTAATAGATGCTCTCCTTGTAGCTAACACCACCTTTCCCACACCCTGTTTTGCAATACCAGTTGGGAAACTGGCTTGTCACACAGTCCCATATGAAGGAAGTATGCTGCCAAGGGGTGGCAAACGATGATTCAAATGTTGTTCTTTAGGGTTTTAAGTTTTTTTTTTTTTTTTTTTTTTTTTTTTTTTTTTGCTTCAGTGTAACTATGCTTAGAAACAGTAATACATTACTACAGACAAAAGACTTTAATTCTGTCACATCATGTATTTCTCTAATTCAGTCAGAATAATTTCTGAGATTTCCCTACATTTATGTATGGAGCAGTAGTGTGATGTCTTTATAGTCAGTCATGCTAGGAAATACTTGGTACTAACTGTATGCCAGCCATTATAATGGATGCTAGCAAGAGGAAAACTGTAATGTTTCACTACTCTGCTATTAAGGATCATCCTTACAGAATTCAAACTTGAGAAAAGAAGCTCACAGTTATTTATTTATTTATTTATTTATTTATTTATTTATTTTTGAGGCTTTGGAGCCTATCTTGGAACTAGATCTTGTAGACTAGACTGGACTAGAACTCACAGAGATCTGCCTGCCTCTGTCTCCTGAGTGCTGGGATTAAAAGTGTGTGCCACCAATGGCTGGCTTTGGCTTTTATTTATTTATTCATTTGTGTGCTTGTGTGTGTGTGTGTTCGCGTGGGGCCAGGGACCAGATATCTTCTAACATGGTTATGGGGATTACGTTCAGGCAGGTAGGCTTGTGCACCAAGTGCTTGTATCTGCTCAGCTATCTTGCTGGACCAGAAGTCAACTTTAAAACATTTTTGTTTCTTAGATTTATTTAATGTACATCAGTGTTTTTGCTTGAATGTGTATGCATACCATGTGTATGCCTAGTACCTGAGATCAGAAGAGGGCGACAGGTAAGCCTAACTTAGTTGCATATGGTTGTGAGCCACCATGTGAGAACTGGGCACTGAACCCCAACCCCAGGTCATCTGCAAGAGCAACAAGTGAGTCAGCCATAGAGCCAACTCTAACCTCCCTCCCCCATCCCCAGAGTTAACTTTTAGATAAATAAGTCTAAATGGTGATACTTAAAATCCAGAGTGGTTCACAAGTTATGTGAACTATACCTACTTGCCTCTTTGGGGTCTACATTTGCTTTCTCCATTCTTCTACTCTGTCCACACAGATTGTCTCTTGTGTCTCTGTGTACTAACTGTTCTTCTCTGTTGTTTAGATCTCATATTAATGCCAAGATCAAACAAGGCTTTCCATGACCTATGTTTTCTTCCTTCATAGCTTATCACTAGTTGAATCACTGTGTCTCTTATGTCTAGAACAGTCTCTGGCAGACAGGCAGCAGGTCCCCAATATATGTTTGTTAAGGGACTAAATGAAAGCAGTGTAACTGTAAAGAAAGCAGCATGTGCTATGGGAGCATTTATCAGGAGCCTGACCTACTATAAAATAGCCCTAGGGAAGATTTCTCAGTATTTTTGTCTGATTAAGTAATCCAGTAGAAGGAAAAATGTATGTGTTTTATGTAACAGCACAGTTAGTGTTCTGTGTCAAAGTGGTGTTCCAGGTTAGTAGTCTGCTCACAGCTGCGTGGCCACTCAAAGACCCATGCTTCTTCCATCTGGTTACTCTACCATTATTTGCATCTTGTCTCAGGTAGAAGCTTGGGTGTTATGAGCAGTTTCCCGCAAGCCTGGTCCTTGATCTGCATCAGTCCTAAATAACACACAGATTTTATATTAATTATAAAGTTGTTGGCCTGTAACTAGTGTTTTTTATTGGCTAGCTCTGTCTTAAATATTAATCCATTTTT